TCTGAAACTCGTTTCTGTTTCATGGTTTGAAATGAAAAACAGGGAAGCTGCTCAGCAGAGAGGAAACATGCAGAAAACCCAGGAGGAAGTCCTGCTATATATATATATATAAATACGTATATAGCGGTTGTGAACATGCATATAAATACAAGATTTCTCCAGTGGAATATTAAATAGTGACTGTGAAGACCACAGACCYGACCCCCAAGACCCAAGGCAAACATAAGGGGGACCAGAGCCACAGACCCCAAGAGAGACCCCAAGCACTGAGCCCCCAAGGCCACCTGCGCAGCAAAAACTACCAACCCACCCCCTGAGAGGAACACAGGAGAGAACCAGGAGAGCCCCACCAGCAACCACATGCAGAACCCACAGGGCCCACAGCTACGACCACAGGCCCCGCCGGCCCCCGCCACACCCGAGCAGAACCAGGCATGGACACAGAGACCCGGAACCTCAGGGCGCAACCCCGCMCCCCCAGGCCAAGGCCCAACAAGGCCAGAGGACCCAAGCCCCGCCAGGCAGTCACCAGGCCAAGCCGGCACATGCCCAAGCACCCAGCCCCAGACATTGAGAGCCACCAGCGCACCGGCGGGCAGAGGTAAACCCCACCAGAGGGCAGTGCGGCCAGGGGCAAAGCCCACCACTAGCAGAGGGCTCTCAGGTGAACCAAATGAGGGGGCAGCCCGAGTCCCAGCCTGACAAATACTCAATCATACACAAACACAATCACACAGTCCCACCCTCGTTCTCACACCCACTCATTCAAAGCCAGACAAGAAGAATGTCACACCCCACTCACACTCCCAATACACACTCTATACCCCCCAGGTCAAGGACACGTACCTGCCCCCTACAGAGGGTGGGCCATATCCGAACCCAGGAGGCAAGCCCATCCATTCTGGGGTGTGGAAGAGCAGACAGCCAAGGCCCGGACCGGGCTGATTCAGCTGTTTTAAGAAACATTGAGCTGAAATTTTGTGTGATCATAGCTAAAAAGGATCCATTATACTTTTCAGATATACAAAGCTGACAAATCTATACCAAATCCTAAATGCTAATTGAAAATTCAAGATGGCCAGCACAGCTTACTTTAAAAGGTTATAATTTAGCCATATTAAGACTTATTGAGTTGAAATTTGTTGTGGAGTTACCAAGAGACATGCCAATTACCTAATTTCCCTCTGGGATCAAAAAAGTATTTTTGAATTGAATTGAATTGAATTGAATTGAATTGCCCAAATTAAGCTAACCACATATGCTAATGCTAATTTTACAAAGGGCTATAATTCAGCCATTTTGAACATWCACAGCTGAAATTTTATATAATACAGTAGTATCAGAGAACAATTTCTAACAAAATTTAAATACACAAAATCCAGGATTCCTACCCACTAGCCTCTTTATACCCATTATTTGACTCTGGCTCTGCCCCTTATTCACACACTGAAATAAGCTACACTGTAGCACTGTAGCCACGAGACAACGCCACTAACCACTCTGCCATAAGCACCCCCACCATAATCTTGTCTTTTAGCTTCAAATACTAGAAATCCTTATTGTAAGGGAGTGTGTAGAACCATAGGACATTTCAATTCTGGTACATAAGCTAAGTTAACCTGCTGAGATTCTGCTTTTCATTAAACAAATACGACAACATGACCAGTTCTTACATTCCTTCCTGTTCTCACAGCAAAACATCTGGTACCTAAAAAAATTTTTTTTGCTTCATTTAATTTAATTTATTTTTATTTTTATTTATTTATTTATTTATTTATTTATTTATTTATTTATTTATTTATTTATTTATTTATTTATTTATTTATTTATTTATTTATTTATTTATTTATTTATTTATTTATTTATTTTTGCAAATCAACACAAAACATCAGCTTTGAATCAAAAGTACTGTTGTCATCACATTTTGATTTTGACAAAGTTGGCATTTAGGTCAGGAGTGGTAAAGGGGACAAACAATAAAAAAAAGTCCTGTTTGGTGATTTAAAATTTAAATACTTCAAAACATTACAAGTTATTGCTTTAAATCTGAGTAAAACCAGGTTTAAATGGCTTCTTTTATTGCACTTTCATTCACAGTCTCTTTTTATGCTTGTATCTTTATACACATTGCAAACTAGCTGATTCAGATTACATATTAACAAGACTAAGATAAGGAACACATCACGTCTTACAATAAAGCAGATACTATTTTCATTGTGCTCTGTACAATGACAATAAAGGTCTAATCTAATCTAATCTACTCTAAAAGAAATATAAAAGTCTTTTGTCACTTTGTTTTTGAAGCATAAACCTCATCTGGGTGAAATACATGACTGAATGTTGTAAATGACTTCCCTTGTAAAAGTGTGATTCTAAGTTACTTTTTAAAGCACTGACATAAATTAGAGGCCTAGTGTTTCCTGAAAAGATGCTTTCATCAAACACACTGTCAGAGAATGTGAGCAGATGTAGAGGTAGAGCTAATTATTTCCTGACCAGTGATTCATGATAGATTTTGCTAACAATCAAAACTGACTGACAATAGTTAATAGCAAAGTTTTAAACAAAGATTTTGTGCCATTTTTWGGGGATTATTTGCATTAAGTATTGCTCCAAATTAGGTGTAAAATTTACTGGAAGTTTTTGTGGCTTTTAAGGTCATCTGTTTGTTCAAAATTTATTTGTAAATGTTCAACCATTGATTACTTTCTGTAAGTTTCATTCAAATTCACCCAGTGGTTCATGAAATATTTTTAAGCAGACAAACAAAAGACATCCATTAAACCTGCAATATACAGTACATTGTTTGTATTAGAGAACTTGAACCTTTTACTTCCTGTTGCCTGGTTCTGATTTCATTTGATTCTCACWAAGGTTTGATTTACTGGAAATGCTCAGAGGGAAGTACTTAAATGTAAATTTGATGGTAAAATTGAATTTGCATAATTTCATGCTTCTCTTAAGGTCCTGCCATGAAGAAAAAGTACAAATGCTGTATGGAAATGCATCAAAACAAGTCGCTCTGGATTGAGTTGTGTAATGATTGACATTTTGAGTTACCATGATGATGTAATTAACTTTACACTCTGAAATATCATCTGAACCACTGGACAGAAATGATTGAATAATCCTATTGTGTCTATATGTGATAATATATGATAAATCTTAAATTTTCTTAGTTACTAGACACTTTTATTTCATGTCTCTTCAGACATACCTGACATGTTTCAACGTATACTTCCATCTTCATCAGAGGTGTCACAGCTGAGAAATGATTGAAACTCTCAGAGTATTTATCAAAGGCTACGATGGATTATTTTGGTCAACCCAACTCAAAATGGCCACGCCACACTCTAAAAATGAAATGTTGGATTTATTTAACCATGTTATGTGACCTGGTTCCACTTAACTGAGTTGAGTAAATTCGAAGCAACATGCTCATGTTCTTTGGTTAAAAAACTGGTATATTGCTTTGAATTTACTCAACTCAGTTAAGTGGAACCAGGTCACATAACATGGTTAAGTAAATCCAACATTTCTTTTTTTTACAGTGCAGTTACTTTTAGAAACACATTGACTGCGGGCAAATTCCTCAGTTATTTGTTTAAAATTTTTGTCTACTTGATGAGTATCTAAACATTTGGAGGCATGCTGATTTCAGATGGTCGCCACAGTTAGGTGTACCAAGGAGCATGCCGCTTCAAAATGTCCCTTTTTTTAGTTTGGTTTCCTGTTTTGTACATAATACCTACACTTTACTATATTTTTATCCTAATATGTTAGCCGTGGCTCTCTGCAGATATACGAGCCAGAAGGAGTGATGATCTTCAGGATCCCGTCGCCAATCTTCTTTGCCAACATGGATTTCTTCAGGAACAAGTTGGTGGAAGCTGTAAGTTTTACCAGAGAACATAATTCACTTACAATACCAGATGGTGATGAGTAAAGTTAATCAGTTTGCTTCTATTTCTGACCTTGTTCTAGCTTGGTTTTAACCCACTGAGAGTGTTGAAAAAAAGGAATAAAGCTCTGAGGAAGATCAGGAAACTTCTAAAGAAGAGCGACCTGCAGTGGACATCAGTGAGTAAAGACTCAGATTTTGTCCTGTGGCAGCTTTCACTCTGACAAACAATTCCACAGAACAATAAAAGGCTTCAAATCAGGTAGCTAGCTAGCTTTAGCTATCAAAAACTCTGCTTCCTTTTTTAAAGAAAGAAAATCTTTAAGGCCTATATTTCTTAAAGGAATGCTGGTTTTTAATCTGTTGCTTTTAATCTGTTGATGCTCAAATTATGTGTTGACAATGCTACCATCTCCAAATTTAGGTCAGTCTCTGTTTGACAAAGTTATAGCTGTTTTTGTGTTTTGCAAAGCTCTTTTAGCTGTGGCAACCATCTTGAATAGGAACTATTCCAAAAGTTAAAACATTATCACTCTGCCTCACTTCAGCAAAGCAGGAAATTAGTGAAAGCCAAAACAAAAGCAAGTAATTTTCCCAAAGATGGTTTAGGGTTCATTTGGTCTGATCTCAGTCGGAAGAAATTATGTGAAAAAACTGAGACCAAACCTGATTGGTTGTGTTGTTTTCACCTTGTTTACACCTTCACACCAGATTTATAATGGACAATAACAGTGTTGTTCTGTCTCAGGGTCATGAAAACTGCCTGTAACTCATAAAATGTTTATTGCTTCTGTCATTTCACTTCAACATCTGCATCAARTGATGAGTTTGTAGCTGGAAATTTTTCAGCTTTACCTCATGTCAGGTGCATGTGTCTGTCTGCAAAATAGCTTATGAATCACTGAATTAAACAAAAGGGAGCCTTACAGGAAGGACAMTAGATGTACTTATACAACTGAGTTAATTTGATGTAGTTTGGTTGCCTCAGCCAAGAAATGTTGAAGTAACATGGCCATAGGGTTACCAGCTGTCCCGTATTGGCCGGGATTTCCCGTATTTTCAGCCTAATTGAAGTGTCCCGTAAGGGACGCTCGTTGTCCCGTATTCTAACTAGGGTTGGGCATAATCCTATCGTGTGCAATTAATCGTCAGAAAAACATTGATCGATTACATTTTGGCACTTGACGATTAATACGATTAATGCCACCAGGCAGACTGACTGCTCCGGTTTAGTCTGCTTGATGTTCCTTTCCACTTCAAATACGACGAACATTAAAAATAAAGTTTTGTATTTATTTATCTATCAACACAATTTTAAATTTGACGTTTAGCCCGAAGTCTTAAATTTTGGCACAATTTGGAACAGATTTTTATGATTTTATTTGTTTCTCGACCCCTTGGGGACCTTCCATTGACTTCCATTCATGTTTTTTAGACTTTATAGCCTAACCCTGACCATATACTCTAAAATTAACCTCACAGAAACTTACCTGACCCTAAAACTAACCTAAACCTTGGTCCTAAACCTAACCCCACACCTGTAACATGCATTTGGACCCGTGGGGACCTGACAATGGTCCCCACTATTCACTTCGGTCCCCACCTGGCTGCTTTTTGTTGTAAAAAATACCCCATGTTGTAGGAAAAACCCATCCACACACACACACACACACACACACACACACACACACACACACACACACACACACATGCGCGCGGCTGCCTGCTTTGTAAACATTATGCTGCTCAGACGAGAGTCACGGAGCAGGAAACGTCGTTCTCATTAACATATGATAACATTCAGCTTTTGGTCAAACGTTATTCTTCAAAAAGAACCAGAAATAAGTCCAAATTACTCCACAGGTCTGTTGTTTATCCTATGAAAAGTTAGCTTGCCGCTAGTTACCAATCAGCTAACGTTACCAATCAGTTAAACTTTAGTGATGACTTTTAATCTGTTATTGAGTTGTTAAACTTTATTTTATGCCGAAATTGAGTCCAAGTCCACTCTGATATTTATTGATTCCCTGTTATAATTCATAAAATCAGCAATTATGTCAGTAATTAGGAGCTTCAGAACACCTGTAGTAAACCTTATCAATCTTATAGTAGTACATCTACTGTTTTTCCTCATCTTAGCTAGAATAAAATGATCACGTCAGAAAATTTTAGTTGAAATTTAGTTTAGAAAATTGAGTTTCTGTATTTTCTGCATAAAAACAGAGCTTCATGGCCAGAAAACTTTTAATTTTTAACAGTCGGGTGATGGAAATAATAATTAGTCATCTGTTATTTATTCATTTAATTTTATTATATTTTCTTGAGTTTTTAAAGCTGACTTCAGGTGGCAGTAAAAAAACGAATACTTAATCTATCTGTTGATGTAGGATCTGGTTACAGACAGGCAGAGTCAGCAGGAAGGACAGAGGGTCTCAGGAAGGACAGAGGGTCTCAGGTAAGAAATGAAGTTAATGGGCAGGTGTGAAGGAAATCTAAAATGTTATTTTGAGTACATTTTATTCAGTTGTGTGATCTTCATGAAAGGAATAACTGATCTAAAAACATAACCTTTTCTAGAGCATGCTTAACAATTTTATTTTATTTTGACCAATATAAAAGTTAAAAGCTTATATAAATTTAACATTAATTTTTAAGTACTAGAAATTAGTTGTAATAATTGGGATTTTCCTGGTTAAATAATAAACC